AGAATGAAAGGAAGAAGTATACTGACAAGGTCTCATCAAACAGAGAATAGCAATAAAGAGGTAGAAATTACTAAAAAGAGCCAAATGAAAATTCTGGAGTTGCAAAGTCCAGTAACTGAGGTAAAAAAAAAAAAAGCACAATAAGGGGCTCAACAATAGAGCTGAGCTAGCGGAAGATTCAGCAAACTTGAACACAGGTCAATAAAGATCATGCATCTGAAGAAGAATGAGAAAATGGAATTCAGAAAATTGAACAGAGCCTCAGAGACACACAGAACAATAGTCAGCGCACCAACATGTGTGTGACAGGTGCACTGAAGAGAGGAGAAAGGAGAGGAAAACAGCCTAAGAAATAATGACCGAAAACTTCCCAGATTTGATGAAAATATCAGTCTACACACCCAAGAAGCTTAACAAGTTCCAAAAAGGGTAAGTACAAGGAGAACTACACCCTCACGGAATACCACAGTCTAAATGTTGAATGCCAGAGGAAAAGACAGCAAGAGGGGGAATTCCCTGGCGGTCCAGTGGGTAGGACTCCATGCTTTCACTGCCAAGGGCCTGGGTTCAATCCCTGGTCAGGGAACTAAGATCCCGCAAGCCGAGTGGCACAGCCAAAAAATAAAAAAAGAAGAAAGAAATCAGGGACTTCCCTGGTGGTACAGTGGTTAAGCATCGCCTGCCAATGTAGGGGACAAGGGTTCCAGCCCTGGTCTGGGAAGGTCCCGCATGCTGCAGAGCAGCTAAGCCTGTGCACCACAACTACTGAGCCCACGCTCTGGAACACTCGAGCCACAACTACTGAGCCCGTGTGCCACAGCTACTGAAGCCCGCGTGCCTAGAGCCCGTGCTCTGCATCAAGAGAAGACACCACAATGAGAAGCCCACGTACCGCAACTGAGAATAGCCCCTGCTCACCGCAACTAGAGAAAGCCCATGTGCACCAACAGAGACCCAATGCAGCCCAAAATTAAAAAAATAAATTAACTTAAAAAAAAAAGAAAGAAATCAGCAAGAGATAATGAGTAACATATTTGAAATGCAGCAAAGAAACTGTCAACCAAGATTCTTACATCCAGCAAACTTTATTTTTTTATCCTGGCTGCACAGCTTGTGGGATCTTAGTTCCCCAACCAGGGACCGAACCCGGGCCCTCAACAACGAGATCGTGGAGTCCTAACCACTGGAGCACCAGGGAATTCCTGCAAAAAATTTTTTTTAAAACAAGGGCAAAATAGAGACATTTCCAGATAAAAAAGAACTGGGAGAATTTCTTGTTAGCAGACCCATCTTACAGGGAATACAAAAAATAAGTTCTTCATGATGAAAGAAAGAGACATCAGACAATAATTATAATCCACTTGAGAAAAACAAAAAGTATAGGTAAAGGTAATTATGTAGGTAATTATAAAAGGCAGTATATGTGCATAGTTCTTCTCCTTTCCTCTCTTAACTGATTAAATAATTAAGTTAGTATAAGTCTGAAGTAGATTCTGGTAAGATGCATATCATAAGCCTTAGAGCAACCACCAAGAAAATAACATAATATAATATAATATAATGTGATATAATGTAGTATACACACACATACACACACACACATACATATGTATGTGTGTCTATATATATATATTTAAGGCTCATTAAAGGAATTAAAATATTACACTAGAAAATGTTCACTTAATACAAAAGAAAGCAGTAAAGAAGGAACAGTTGGGGGTTAGGGTAGACATGAGGATAGAAAACAGAAACTGAAATGGCAGGTGTGAATCTAAACATATCACAATAACATTCAATGTGAATGAATTAAACAATCCAATCAAAGGGCAGAATTGCCAGAATGAGTTTTTTTCAACGATCCACTATATGCCGTCCACAGGAGACGTACTTTAGATTCAAAGATACAAAGAAGTCAAAAGCAAAGTAGAAAAAGATATGCCATACAAACAGCAATCATAGGAGATCTTCAGTAGCTACTACTATCAGAAAAAAATTGACTTTAAAACAAAAAAGTCACTAGAAATGAAGGAAAATTTTATAATGATAAAAGGGCCAATCTATCAGTATAAAATGATAAACATATGCACCTAACAACAGTGCCCCAAAATATAAAAAGCAAAAACTGACAGAAGTGAAAAGAGAAACAAATAATCTAAAGGTAGCTGAAGATTTCAATACACACTTTTAGTAACGGACATAACAACTAGACAGAGGAAAAAGGGAAGAGGAGACCTGACCACACTACAAACCTAACAGACACCCCTCCACCTCCACCTGACAACAGCAGAATATACATCGTCCTGAAGTGCACACGGAACGTTCTCTAAGAGAGACCATCAGCCAGGCCATCAAACAAGCCTCAATTTTAAATGACTGGAATAGGGACTTCCCTGGTGGTGCAGTGGTTAAGAATCCACCTGCCAATGCAGGGGACACAGGTTCGATCCCTGGTCCAGGAAGATCCCACATGCTGAGGAGCAACTAAGCCCGTGCGCCACAACTACTGAGCCCACGCTCTAGAGCCCACAAGCCACAACTACTGAGCCCGCGTGCCACAACTACTGAAGCCCACATGTCTAGAGCCTGTGCTTCACAACAAGAGAAGCCACTGCAATGAGAAGCCCGCGTGCCACAACAAAGAGTAGCCCACGCTCGCTCCAACTAGAGAAAGCCCGCAAGCAGCAACAAAGACCCAATGCGGCCAAAAATAAATAAATAAATACATTTTTTTAAAAAATATAAAATAAAATAAAATGACTGGAATAATACAAAATATGTTCTCCAACTACAATGGAATTAAATTAAAAATCAATAACAGAAGGAAATTTGGGGGATTCACAAATATGTGGAAATTAAACAACAAACTCAAAAATAACAAATGAGTCAAAGAAGAAATCCTGAAGGAAATTTAAAAATATTTTAAGACCAAAATGCAAACAAAAACACAACATACCAAAACTTACAGGATGCAGCTAATGCATTCCTTACAAGGAAATTATGGCTGTAAATGCTATATTTAAAAAGAAGATCAACTATACATCAATTTAAAAAAAGAAGAAATACCTCATCAATAAATTAACTCTATCTTAAACTAAAAAAAAAAAGCAAACTAAACCCAAAATAAGCAGAAGGAAAGAAATAATAAATACTAAAGTGGAAATAAATAGGGACTAGAAAAACAATAGAGAAAAATCAACAAAACCAAAAGTTGGCTCTTTGGGAAAAAAAAACCAATTAAATGGACAAACCTTGAGCTGGAAGAACCAAAACAAGAAGGAGAGAGAAAGGGAGGAGAGTCAAATTACTAAAGTCAAGAATTAAAGAAAGATCATTGCCACCAACTTTACAGAAGTCGAAAAGATTATAAGGGAATACCAAGAACAATTATATGCCAACAAATTAAATAACAGATTAAATGGACAAATTCCAAGAAAGAACTTCTATTGAAACTAACTCAGGAAGCAATAGAAAATCAGAATAGATCTATAACAAGTAAAAGACTGAATTAGTACTTTTAAAACTTCCCACAAAACGCCCAGGCCCAGAGAGTTTCACTGGATAACTGTACCAAACATTTAAAAGAATCGGTGAACTTGCAACAAGCAGTAAATAAGCCCCATAGATCTAATGCACAGTAGACTGAATACAGATAACAACACTGAATTATAATCATCAAACTTGCTAAGAGACTAAAAGTAATTATTCCAACTACTAAAAAAAAAAAGATAATTATGTAACACGATAGAGGTGTTCATTATCACTCCATGGCTATCACATCACAGTATATACATGTATCAAATTAACATATACACATTTAACTTACATAATGTTATATGTCAAATATATTTCAATTAAAACATTTTAATTAATAAGGAATTGATAGCAAAGTCTTAAAATTAAAAAAAATAGAAGAGGAAGGAACACTTCCCATTCCTAACTTACTTTATAAAGCCAGTTCTATCCTGATACTAAAACCAGTCATCACAAGAAGAAGGAAAAAAAGAGACCAATATTTCTTACGAATATGGACACAAAAATCCTCCACCTAATACTAGCAAACAGAATCTAGCAACTTATAAAAAGGCTTATACATCATGATCAGATGAGATTTATCCCGAAATGCAGGTTGGTTCAGCATCAAAAATCCATCAGTGTAATACACTGTAAAAGCAGAATAAAGGACAAAACCACACGATCATCTCAACAGACACAAAAAGCATTTGACAAACTTAAATATCCTTTCATGATGGAAAAACTCAACAAACTCAGAACAGAAGGGCACTTGCTTAACCTGATAAAGGGCATCTCTGTAAAATCCACAGCTAGCATCATACTTAATGGTCATGGACTAAATGCCCTCTCATTACAGTCAGGAACAAGGCAAGCACACCTGCTCTCCCACTTCTGGCCACAGGGCTATTAGGCAAGAAAGAGAAATGAAACGCATCCAGATCGGAGAAGAAGGAGTAACACTACCTCTATCTGCGGGTAACAGAATCTTGCATATAGAAAAGCCTCAAATACCCACTAAAAAACGATTAGAATAAATGAGTTCTGCAAAGTTGCAGGACACAAGATCAATATGTGAAAATCAATTTTATTTCTACAAAGAAACAATGAGCAAACCAAAGTGAAATCAAGAAAACAATTCCATTTACCATAGAATCAAAAAGAATAAAATACTTTGGAATAAATTTAACGAAAGAATTCCAAAACTTGTGTTCTGATCATTTCTCTTTCTTTCTACCTCTCCATGCCCCTCCCTCCCTCTCCCCCCTCCCACACACGCAGGAAATGGGCAGGTTTCTAGGAGCTACTTCATGCTCGAAAACAGCAGGTGTGGCTGGTTAGCTGGGTGGATGATGTGCATGCAAGGTGAGGATGTGGCACAGATGGGAGCAGAGACAGAGAGGGACGAGCTGCAGAGGAGGAAGCTCATGCAGCGTGGTACCTACCCAGATGTGACCACCTGGGGGGGGCTCATGCAGCGTGGTACCTACCCAGATATGACCGCCTGGGGGGGGCTCTGGCTTCATCTTTATTATCTGCAGCTACATTTAAAGACAGGGAGAGAGAAAACAGGAAGGAAGAAGAGACAAAAACAGACTGGTTTTAACACTGGTAAGTCCTTGTTGTATTTCTTTAAAAACAATGGAACAGGAAGACAGCAAGCTTTTGGTTTCTGTGCATTAGGAAATACACTTTCTGAACCATTTTTCTCCAAACCTACCCTCCTCCAAATAAGTGCTTGGGACAGAGGGAAAAAAAATGAAAAGCCACCTCATTTTCATTTAATTTCTAAGGTCAGAGGTGCTGACAGAGATACAGCAGACCCTACTTCTACTTTCCCCTGGGAACTCATCTGTACGCAAGCCCTGGTTGCAAGATAGTTGTCTCAGGGTCCAAACTCTCCAGAAGGTTGCTCAATAGAGCTGTTTTCAGAGGACACTCAACAGGACTCCCGCCATAAACGGAGAGCTAGCTCAGCACGTGAACTTGACCGCCCTCGGACATCACACCCAGTCAGGGAGCAGGTCTGGCAGCTGTCTCCACTGTGGCCCAGGAAGGAGTACCTGACCCACTGTGCGACAATTCAACTGCCAGGTACCTTGCCCCTCCGAGCACCCCACCCCACCTGAGACCTCCCTAGTCTGGGCCACCCCAGGACAATGACCGACTGACCTACCGACCAGAGGCCCTGAAGACAGAGCACCTCCAGCTGGGTTCCACCTGCAGGTGGGGCCTGGGATGGTCGGTAGTTAAAGAGAAGAGTCACTGAGGTCAGAAAGCAGAGGCAAGACCAAAGGTCGTGTGTCACCTGCCCCAGGCCATGTTCACTCTACCCCAAAATGGAGATTTTACATGTAATCAACTAAAAGCAAACACCAGACTTGTGCCTAGACCAGGAGGAGCTGGAGGGTCGGGGCAGGGGGAGTGGTTTATAAACCAACACAAATTGCATCTCCTCTCCTCACCCCACCCCTCTCCCCAACACCCCCTCCTGGACCTTCTGGGTTCTGACCCCTCAGAGTTGGTCAGATTCTCTCAGCTTTTTGCTTCTATTTCTTTGATTCAGACCAATTTCACCGTTCATGGGCACCTCCTCTACAGATCAAAATCCCAAAAGAGGGAAGGAGGGGAGAGGAGGGAGGCTGTAGGAGAGAGCGCTCAACTCAGTTACTCGTGCGTTTCAGACACCGTTTCCCTTCTCCTCTCCAGGCTTGATCACACTGAGCTGACAAGCAGAGCTTCGCACATGCAGAAGCACCAGGCATGGCTGGGAGACACACAGAGTGCGCGGGTGCAGAGCTGGGGGTCGGCAAGCAGAGGGCTGGGTAAGTTGGGTGGGAAGGTCACACCCCTGTGTACTGCGCCAAGCTACCTAAGGTTCCTTGGCTGGAAAGCAACATGATCAGATCTACGTTTTACAAAAGACACCTTTGCATAGGACAGATGGAAGAAAGTGGGCTCTGAAGCTGAGAGACGCTAGAAATGTTTTCAACAATCGTGTGCTTCCGCAGACCTGTACTGAGGACACGCTGCAGGCCAGGCACGAAGGTTCCAAAACAACTGCACTGGGACTCCCTGGTGGTCCAGCGGTAAAGAATCCGCCTTACAGCGCAGGGGACACGGGTTCAATCCCTGGTCAGGGAACTAAGATCCCACATGCCACAGGGCAGCTAAGCCCACGTGCCACAACTGGAGAGCCTGCGTGCTGCAAACCACAGAGCCCATAAGCCCTGGAGCCTGCGTGTCACAACTAGAGAAGAGAAAACCCACACGCCACAACTAGAGAGAAGCCCGCACACTGCAACGAAAGATCCCGCGTGCCTCAACGAAGATCCTGCGTGCCGCAACTAAGACCCGACGCAGCCAAAAATAAATAAATAATAACTGAATCTTTAAAAAAACACACAACCACACTGTCCTCAGAACCTCCCCTCCCCCACCAGGAGGCAGGTCTTTGCCCCCTTGACTATGGGTGGGCCTGAGACTGCAGGTCTTCAGAAGTGATGCTGTGTGAGTTCCAAGACTAGATCTTTAAAAAGATACAGCGTCCACCCGGTTCTCCCCTTGAAACTCAGCGCCGCCTTGTGAGGAAGCCCAGGCCACATGAGGAGGCCACGCAGGGATGTTCCAGCAGAGCCCGGCTGAGGTCCGGCCAACAGCCAGCACCAACCCAGACACATGAGAGAGGAGTGAAAGAGAGAGAGACACAGAGAGAGACAGAGACAGAGGGAGAGACAGAGCAAGAGGGGGTAAGGGGGAGAGACAGTGAGAGACAGAGACAGAGACAGAGGGAGAGACAGAGCAAGAGAGAGGAGTGAAAGAGAGAGAGACACAGAGAGAGACAGAGACAGAGGGAGAGACAGAGCAAGAGAGAGGAGTGAGAGAGAGAGAGACACAGAGAGAGACAGAGACAGAGGGAGAGACAGAGCAAGAGAGAGGAGTGAGAGAGAGAGAGAGAGAGACACAGAGAGAGACAGAGACACAGGGAGAGACTGAGCAAGAGACAGAGCTAGACAGAGAAAGAGGGGGTAAGGGGGAGAGACAGTGAGGGAGAGACAGAGACAGAGAGAAAGGGGGGGACGGGAGAGAGTGAATGAGACAGTGAGAAAGGAGCTCGAGCAAACAGCCCAACTGTGGAGTCCGAAGCAAGAATGTCCTTTCACGTCATCAAGTTTTGGGGTCACTCGTCGAGCAGCCCCAGAGACAGGAACCAGAGATGACAAGGCAGAAGTTCCAGCAGAGCTGAGACGGGAGAGTCAGCCTCTGGTGGCCAGCAGGAGGCTGCGGGGTGGACCAGAGGCAGGCCCTCAACTGCCCCAGGGGCTTTAGTCCTGTCACACTTTGAGACTCACTGCTGGGGGCACCTTGGAGAGACTACGCGGGGGCAACGGTGCCTGTGTGTGGTGGAAGGGATGACGGCTACAGGGGGACCGGGGGACCAGGAGACCAGGAGGAGTATTATCATGGTGGTCCAGGCAACACGGGAACAGGAGACCCTGTGTCAGCTTCAGGGCAGTGGGCTGAACTGAAGCAGGATCGTAGCCTGATGTCCGAGGACACAACGGAGCCCTTGAAAATGCAGGATGGTCTGTGGATAAACATCTTCCTGGGGAAGGGTGTGTCCTCAGCTTTCAATCTCAGGATGGTACGTGACCCTCCCCACCCAACGTGTTTTTACAGCTTTACTGAGCTATAACTACACACCATAAAAAAGTCACTCTCCCAGCGGTGTGTAGGATACCCACAGGTGTGTAGTGCAGCCACCACCGCTACAGTATTTTAGAACTTGCATCACCTCTCAAGGAAACCTGTCCCCTTCAGCAGTCACCCCTCCCGTCCACCTCCCCAGCCAATGCCACCCCAGTGCTGAGATGTGGGGCAAACCTCAGGTGAATTCATGCCTGCAGCCGGTTGGTGACACACCCATTGGGAGGCACTATTCTTAGTGACAGTACAACACGGGAATCTGGCGGGAGGAACGTGTGGCCCTGAGGATCCCCGAGGAAACAACTTCTCAGCAGCCTCGCTGTCGGCCGGCCTCATGACGGAACCTGGCCAGGAGCCATGAGGGAGGTGCCTGGTGGAGACGCCACGCTCTGTTATTCTTGGGTCCCTGGGCTGCAGTGGGAAGATCAGAGCCGACCAGGGCCCCGTGAAGGGCCAGCCTGGGAGGGGGCACTCTGTCTCCTGGGAAACCTCCAGACCAGGCTCCTCGGACACCTGGCTGACTGCAGGTCTGGGGCAGGAAACTGGACAGCAAGCTCAGAGCATCTTGTCGCACCAGTGTCTGGGGTCCACAGGACCAAAGGTCAAAGATTAAGAGCCGGCGGCAGGGCTTCCCTGGTGGCGCTGTGGTTGAGAATCCGCCTGCCAATGCAGGGGACACGGGTTCAAGCCCTGGTCTGGGAAGATCCCACATGCCGCGGAGCAACTAAGCCCGTGCGCCACAGCTACTGAGCCTGTGCGACTGGAGCCTGTGCTCCGCAGCAAGAGAGGCCGCAATAGTGAGAGGCCCGCGCACCGTGATGAAGAGTGGCCCCCGCTCGCCGCAACTAGAGAAAGCCCTCGCACAGAAATGAAGACCCAACACAGCCAAAAATAAATTAATTAATTAATTTATAAAAAAAAAAAAAAAAAAGAGCCAGCGGCAGAGGCTCCCCCTGGCAA